AAAATGGAATGTCTGTAACAAGCTTCTCTAGAAGGCATGAAATGTTTCGTATCACAGAGTTGCTACGACCTCTTCAAGGGATTAAAGCTATGTCGTTAAGAGTAAATCTAAGGGATAGAACGTGCAACTGTGGGTTTTTTCAAGATCTGAAGTATCCATGCTCTCATGTGATAGCAACTTGCTCGCATACACGTCAAGACTATAACCATTTTATGGATCTTGTATACCTACTATATGAAGTTTTTAAGGTATACGAGGTTCAAGATTGGCTTCCGATTGTACCAAATCCGAGTTTATTGAAGGAGCGTGGTCGTCCAAAATCCAATCGAATTCATTGCGATATGGATATTCGAGAAAGATCTAGACAAGACAGAAGATGTGGGGCATTGTAGAAACCCAGAACACACTAGAAAAACATGTTCACTTCTGTTGCCATAAAGTAACAATTGATGAGGAAATGATGTATTTGTTTATCAAATAATAATTCTTGTACTTTAATTTGCATTTACTTCAAGTTAATATCATTCGATAATCGCTGATGAAGATTAAAAAAACGATACAATAATACGAGATTGGACGTTTGCGTTATATGTTATTATAATAAAAGAGATAATAAGTGACAAACTTAAGAAAGTTATCGAACACAATCATTAAATTTTATCAAACTAATAACAATTTGGTATTTCAAAATAATTTTAAATACAACAAACTTACAATAAGTATTAAATGGTAAATGATAACCAAATTACAATAACTGATATTAAATGGTAATAAACAAATTAACTGAAATACATTAAAAAATCCAACAAATTTAAAAAAATAAAGTAAGTATTAAATAAGAAATAATAAAAAATTACAATTAAAAAATCTAATAAACTAAATACAAATATAATAAAAAACAAAATCTATCGATTCTTGTGACGCGAATGTGTTCCGCAGGGCGGTGGCTGTCGATCTCGAGGAGGATTTCTTCGTATCACTGGTTGTGACTCCTCGCTATCATCATCATCATCACCATCATCATCGTCGTCGTCGTCCTCCCCCTGAGTAGGTACATTAGGCTGATGAGGAGCTGATGACGATGAAGCACTTCCATAGAATAAGGACCCTGGAGGTGTATGACTGACTATCCCACCGGTCTGCGAAAACTGGGAAACCTCATAAAACCCAGACATCGTTGAGTGTGAAAACTGTACAGGAGGTGTCTGTGTTGTGGCCATGGGTGATAAGGTTGAACCTGCCAAATATCCAGTATATGAACCCCAAGTCGGATATACAAACATAGACTCATAATAACCTCCAAGAGGGGTCATCTGTGACGGTGGCGGCGGCGGGGTAATAAAACTAGGTGAAGGCGGCGACATCGATATCTGTTAATGGAAAGGCGGTGGCGGCATCATATATGGCTAAGGTATGTAAGTCGCTGGATACGGTGGCTGCTGTGAAGGTCATGCTGGTGCAGCTGAGGATGAACCGAAAGCACTTGCTCTCCGTTCACGAGTCGGGGGACGATGGTGCTGTGTCGATGAACGTCTCTGTCGACGTCGCTGAAAGGTCTGCCCTCGTGCATCCTCGGGAAGCATAAATGGTTTCCCGTTACTGTTGAATCAATCATAATATCCATCAGCAACCATCAAGAGGTCATCAAAAATGGGCTCTCTACAGGGAAGGCGCCGATGTCGATCCTCCCACAACATGACCCACTCATGATGCCTCACCAGCCAATCTGTATCTGTCTTGCTGCGTCGATCTATGCTATGCAACTCGTCCATATTACGAGGTGCTTCCAGAATTGGTTGAAAACAACCAAATTGCTGGAGCACGCTATCAGTGGAGTGCCACTCGACGGTCGCATAACAGATCAAGGGGATCATCGCCATCCAAACATCTGATGGGCCCCTCAACTCAGGTGGGATCACCGCCCTCACATCATCAGTAGAATATGACACCCATTCAAACTAAAATAAATACATATAATTTTTATCAAAAGAATAATCTAATTATATAACTATAATCTAAAATCGATTTTTAAACATTAAAATTCATACCTATGTGCCAGCCTTCTGATCGATTAGCACCTTAATTTTTTCTAAATCATTAGGTAGCTCTTGATGATTTTTCCTGTCAGTAGACCACCTATTCAAGGAAAAATATTTATTATACACTTTATAAAATTATTAATATACGAAATCAGTTTTATAATTACCTCAGGAGTAGTGAAAATACGAATGTGTTCTTCACAACGGGATATAAAAAGGGCAATCGATACCATGCCCAAGACTGCAGCAGCAGGAGACATCCGCCGATAACATTATGCCTGTAGTCAAAGGCTCGACACATCTCCCTGTACAGCAAAGCCAAAACTGCCAAGCCCCAACTGAATGATCCGACTAGATGAAAGTCGCTCAGATGTCGCAACCACATGCAGTGAACTTGGTTGTGCGATTTGTCCGACATCAGCAACCCTCCTATTAGCTGCAGTATGCATGCCCGTGCATACATTTTAACTTCATCCTCAGACGCTTCATCGCTCAACTCCCGAAAATTGGCATCTAACCAATTTAACGGTATCCGACAACTGTTAAAACTTTCTGGGACACGTCCTAGATTTTCCCTGCACAAAGTAGTCCAAGAACCCTGCGCGATCCCTGATATAACATCCCTATCCATTGGAAGCCCCAGGTGCATAACAACATCCTTAAGTGTAATCGTGCACTCTCCGCACGGAAGATGGAATGTGTGGGTCTCCAGCCTCCACCGCTCTACTAAGGCAGAGATAAGGTATGGTTGTATCTTACAGTGACCCTGATATCTACCTATGTAACCAAATCCAGCTCCTACTAAATACGGTAAGACACGGCTAGGTATCACTAACTTAAGGTTCCTAATAAAATGATCTAATACACAGTCCTTCTCCTTAAAAAAATAATTACAAAAATTAATTCTTAATCTAATAGTCATGCATTAAATAAATCAAAAAATTATTACTAATAATTTAAATTAAATTAAAACGTTAAAATGTTACCGTATCAGCAAAGTGTCGAGATATATGATTTTCATCCAAGCGAAGTAGACCGCCTTCCATTATATATATGCAAAAAAAATTATATAAGAAAAATATTAAATAAATTAAAATACTTAAATAAATTAAATACAAAATATTAAAAATATAATAAAATATACCTTAAATAGAGAATATAAGAGTATTTGAGAGAAGTTGAGAGAATTTGAGAGAATTTGGTGTGATGAAAGTGATTCAGGATGGGGGTATTTATATAGAGGATTGGGGAGTGAAGCGTCGGGGTAGGGGGTAATTAAACATATAGCGCGGGGTAGGGGGCGCGCCTTTTTGACGCGTGGCAGATGCACAGGTAAGGCGTGGCCCCTGATCCGCGCTATACCCACGTGTATCCCATGTCAGCATATAGCACGGTGCAGGGGGCGCGCCTTACCCCACGTGGCACCAAATCAACATATAGCGCGGTATAGGGGGCACTTTACTGCTAAAAGTGTTAGATTGGGAAATATAGTCTGATCGGTATTAGATCGGTAAATATACCGGTCACCGATGATTTTTCGAGAAAAACGCCGAGTAAATGTGAAAGTTCTCTAAATAAGTCCCCTCATTTTTTTTTAAAAAAATATTAAACTAAATTCTTTAAAATTTTGAAAAATATTAATTTAAATCTATTAATTTTTAATGTTTAAGTTTGGTCAATTTAGATTTAAAACTCATTATTCATTAGATTTTCAAACCCATTTATTAGACCTACTTAGTATTTTTATATTTCTAAACCACATTTTATTCAGGTCCTTTAATAACTCTAATATAATAAAATTAAAATATGAAATATATTAATCAATAAATGATAAAATAAATATTTACCTACTTAATATTTTTAATTGAAAAATTCTAATTCAAAGATATACGATGAATCTCAGTGCGATAAAACGATGACGTTTGGAAAGGATTTTCTTTTTCCTTTTCCAGCGGATCCCCTCATCTCCGCTTTATCTCATTCCTCAGCTGGTTGCAACTGAGATTATAGAAACTCCATCGATAAGTCATCTTATCTCCTCGAATAATCAAAACTCGACATTTCATTTCATCTCCTTTACTGTAATCGATTTATTGTTGGGTTTATTGAGGACAGTTCAAAATTCTTCTTGTTGATCCTTTTACTTTTGATGTTATTTTCATGGGAATCAGAGGATTTCTCTAGAATCTGGAAGACAAGTTATGGGCATTGTATTCTTCCGAGCACGGTGTTAATATTTATTTGAATTTGAATGATGAAGATAAATCCATGCATGTTCTTAGTTGCAGGACAGACAGAAGGTTTGATGGTAGAGGTGAATTTATAAAATTTTATGGATGATAATAGTTTAAACATAGAAAATACACAGAAATTATCTAATATATATATATATGAGAATATGAAATTTTCAGGGGAACGCCCCCACCGCCCTCCCTCGTCAATCACTGCTTAGTTGTTCACTTAGTTTAAATAACAAAGGATTGTATTGGCTATGGTACAGGGATTCTTCAATCTTCACTAAAACATTTATGAGCTAACACGTGTTTCACATATTAAATTTCAATATACCCATGTTGGATGCATATCCATCATTCACTCGTATCCCAAACTAGCTCTTGTTCGAGGAACATATGTATTTGGCCTATAGGGTAATATGCCAGATTCAACTGCAACTCTACCGATTGTGTGTTAAAAAGACTTCTACTTCTGTTGTTCTAATGCAACAGAAGGAATAGTGGCAACATGATTTTTTTGCATGAATGGTCCGAGAGAAGAGTTATGTCCAAATCCGTGTAGTTAGTTGAATTGCTTTCAAATTCCATGAATGTCGATTGATATCTTCACTCTGAACTTCAATATCAAAGGATCTAAAAAATTTACCCCCTATCGAGGTTAATGATATGTCCAGCATGCTTTTGTTATAACCAACCGGTTCTTCTGTGGTCTGAGTACTAATTTATGATTTCAAATATATAAAATTACCATATCAATGCATTACCTTTGATCTTTATAATTCCTTGATATGCTTTGTCTTGTTTTTCCCCAAGTTTCAGTCATTCATTTAGCTATAAAGAAACCTCTTGTTATTCTAGTATCACTGTAGAGCTGTAGATATGAAGACATGCATTCATTCACTGTTCAATACTAATTTACTTTCATGTTCGCTCTGGCTGAATCTGGGCAGGATCTTTTATCACGGGAAACAAGCCTGCGAAGCAAGAACGACGAAAAGAGATCATCTTGAAAATTGTACCACCATTGGACCAAGCTTATGTTCGATGGCTTGCTCGGGACATAGAGAGGATTCACGGTTTTACTCCGAGAAACCCCCGTGCAGTAAAAACCCCAGATCACTATATTGTGTACATGCGTTTGAATGGCGGGTTAGATGTAGACTTGGATGATCCAGATTTGGCCCATTTGTTAAAGTAAGCAGGAAAACTTTTGCCATAAAAGGTTATGAAACGAGCTTTGAATTGGAAGGTATGTTGAAGGAATTACTGGCTTTTTGAACCATGTTGCTGTTGTAAATGCTTAAAACAGCTTTGTGTTTTGCAAAAATCATGGAAGTTCTTTCATCGTTTATGCAGTGACGATTTCATGTTTTTCTTTTGATTTGTTGGATTGATTCTTTAGCAAATCCAATTTTTCTTTTCTATTTTATTGAGAAATATTGAAAAGAAAAAATAATTAATGGATGAAACACACACACATTTAAAAAAATGTAGAAAGAATTGATACATCAACTTTAAAGTTTTCTTTATAAAAATTGTTTAGTAGCTAGTTATAGGGGTGTGGACGAGATAGATGTGCATTACCCTTTTTTTTTTGTCTGGTCTACTTTATTTTTTTCAGGGCTCGCTCGAACATTTTTATTGAAGCTGAATTTGAAGTATGAGACATCAGTTGATTTGCAATAAATATTCAAGTAGAATTCAAATGTTTCCAAGGCATGATGTCTTTTTGAAATAGTAGTGACTTTCAGTTAGCTTTTCACACATTTTAAAACGCTTCAAACGGACATCGAAAATTCAAGATATGCTTAACAAATATAACACGTATAAAAATTTAAATATTGATTTAATATGAGAATTTTAATTTATTACAAACTTTTAAATATTTTATTGATTATTTATAATTAAATTTAGTTTTATGTTTTTCATTATTTATTTAGATTTTTTTAATAAGTGTATCTAGCATTTATGAAAAGATGTAGAGGTTTTTTTTTCTTTTATGATTTTTGGGATGAGCACTCTTATTTTGGGAGGAAAAAAAAAAGAGAAAAAAGAATAGAAGATCAATAAAAAATTTAACTTTTCCAAAGTTTTATTAAGAGAATTTTTTCTTTGTTAAGTTTCTTCTATTTCAGTCTTATTTTGGATCCACGTCTTATTCAATTATTTGAATTAATTACTACATCAAATCTCGAAAATTTATTTTGTTTTAATCTTAATTGATTAATATTGATTCTTCTTCCCATTCTCATTCATTTTGATTTTTTTCTTACATTACATATATATTGTACTATTAATATTATTTATATTATATTTATAGGTATAATCCTTATTTATATTATATTTATAGGTATAATCCTTATTTATATTATATTTATAGGTATAATCCTTATTTATATTATATTTATAGGTATAATCCTTATTTATATAATTATATAGATATATTTCTAAGTTTATAAATATGTTTTTAAAGTATTATACTATGTTATATTATATCTATAAGTATTTAATTTTATGTGAAAATTTTATCTAGTATTATTTATTATTCATATTTTTTCCTATGTACATATATTATTTTTTTTTCTTTTTATTATTTTATTAATTTATATATTTACTATTTTTTACTAATTTCGATATTTTTTTTGTATTTTTTGCATTTAATTTTTATATCTTTTAGATTCACAATTTATATTCAAGCTTTTAATTATTTATTTATTCTATTTATGCCTTTAAAATTTAACATTAATTCTTTTTATTATTTCTTTATTTTGGCACCCGTAATCTTTTTATTTCACTTTTGTATATTAGACATAAATCGTTCTTTTTTTAATTTTAATTTATTTTAATTTACAGTAACAAAACTCAAAGATAAATAATTTGAATTTTTCTTTAAAAATGTATTTTACAGTAACAAAACTTTTATTTCGTAACTGTGTTGGTACCTAATGAACGAAGTTTAGGTGCTCATTCTTCCCCACACATAATTGAATCTCAAACCCTTACTTAATCCAAAAAGGTTGGTGGCAACTCAAAAAAGGTAAAATTCACTCTAATTCGAAATGTGATTTCAGGTCACCCGAAGGATCGTTATGACAACTAGGTGACTCTACTAGGGATCGTAGAGAGTCAAGCCAAAATTGATTATTGGTTATCATTTTAAGTGAAAGTTGTAAGTTTAGGCCTTAAGTTATCTTTTTGATCCTCTTTACTTATATTTGAGTTTTTTTTTCAAATTAGTAGTTGTACTGACATGTGATTTCAATGGTTTTTTTTTTAAAAGCTCTATACTTGAGCTTTGTCTATTTAAGTAGTGTGAAAGTGATGTCTACATGGGAATTTATTCTCCTAAAGGTCTAACAAGTAACTTTTAGGGTACATATGTCTTATATTATTGTGGGAATTTATTTTCTATATGGGTATAAGGAAATGCATCATCTCGATTTTAATGCAATCCATATGAGTCTGTGATGGGTTTAGTAAAGCCCAATGGGACACAAACAAGGAGAATTCGATACCTCTTTAGAACCAAACTGTGTTGTAGTGAAATTAGAGTCCACTATAAAGCCTTTTTGTAACCCTAGGATGCTCGAATTCTCTTACCTTGCCTCTTTATTTATTGCTCAAAGCATACGAATTAAAAATGCACACGATTAGGATTTATTATTCTGCCAAAAAGCATGCATGATATAAATCATGTTCGGGTAAAAATAAAAGCATGTGGGGTAGGAATTATTATGATTTTGATTTTATTTATCAACTTACCGTTACTAACATATTCTTTTGTTTTGTCTATTTGTTTTAGTTTTCCATCATTTGCATAATCATAACATAGATGTGTTGATTTGCAAGGTAGTTATCAAATCATAATAGTGTAATCATTATTTTTTGTGATATATTATTATTATTATTATTAAAATTCAAAATCAGAACGGGCCCAAACAACCCAAGCCCAATACAAACCCAATACAAATCGGACGAAACCTAAAAACTCTAGCTACCTCAGCTGTCAACGTCGCCTCTCCTCTACCGCCACCATCGTTACTGTCGTCAGCCACGTCTTCGGTAACCAAACCACCACTGTTCCAAGAAACCAACCACAAAATCAAATCAAAACATAAAAAAAAATCAAATCAAATCTGACAAATCCAAACTACCAACCGAGCCTCCTACAATCCTCACCCACTCTGCCAGTAACCCTATCAAACCCATCAGACCAAGTCACCATTTATATAACAAGGGGAGCATTTGAAAAAAATGGAGAAGGGGGTCACGAAAAAAAACAGAAAAAAATAAGAAAGGTGAAGTTACCATTCGGCCGAACCTTCCACCAGCGTTAAGGACCTCCGTGGCTAATCAGAACGGTGAGGAGGTTCATCGTGCCCTGGGGAGTGACATACTCCAACCTCGACATGATTCAACGGTGGAGAAGACAGATCGACGATATTGAAGTTGAAACGTTTACAACTTATTTCACGACGTTGAAGGTTGTTTTGTGCGAAACAGAGTTATGATCTGTGACCATGATGTCGAAGAGAGCCAACTTGAAATTTTTGGGCCCGAACAGCCACTGGAGATGGCAATGATAGGGCGACTGACAGTGGCCAACACAGTCGGAAGGCGTCCACAATTTAGAGAGAAGAGAGAGCTTCTCTCTCTAAAAAAAGAACGAGATAAGAATGAAAAAGAATCTCTAAAAAGGGAAATTTATACCCGTTTTAAAACGATGTCGTTTTGCCCTCTAGGAACCGCGTATTTTGGATTTTTGGGGTAACTACTATTTCAGTTCTTTTTCGTTTGTAATTTATTATTTTGGTCATGAAACATAAGGGGTTAATTATGTTTTCTAGTCCTTTGATGTTGCCATGCTTACATTTCTGTCACTACTTCAATTAACATGGTTTGTTAGGAGTTATTTACGTTCCTAGCCTTAAAATTTTACGCGTGTCACATTTTAGTCCCCTTTTATAATTTTATCGACTATTTTCATGTTTAGACCTTGTAACTTTAATTTCTTTTAAATTAGCCCTAAACTAAAATGTATAATCAACTAGTTGGCCATTGTATTTTTTATTTGTTCATTTTTTATACTACTACTACTATTATTATTATTAGAGAAAATAACCTCAGTGACCAAAAATGCCTTATAATATACGATTTTAACCAACTTTTTTTTGATTTGCCAAAATGACCAACTAAATCACAATGCGATCGATAATTCGCAACGCGATCTCTGGCATCGCAAATCAGTTTCCAGATTCGCAACGCGAACATCGACTATCGCAACGCGAACTTCGACTATCGCAATGCGATTTTCCAAATTCGTTGCGATAGTCCAAGTTCGCGTTGCGATTTATTCCAAATGCGTTGCGATAGTCCAAGTTCGCGTTGCGATAGTCGAAGTTCGCGTTGCGATAGTCGAAGTTCGTTGCGATAGTCGAAGTTCGCGTTGCGATTTATTCCAAGTTCGTTGCGATAGTCGAAGTTCGCGTTGCGATTTATTCCAAATTCGTTGCGATAGTCCAAAATCGCAACGACTGGCGGTATTGCATTTGTTTCTTAAGAATTTTCTCTAAAAAGATAGTATTCGCGCAGACGTATCGAAGACACGTATTACCACGACCACAACCACGACCACGACCCGAGACGAGACGAGACGAGATGGACGGCGGCGGCGGCGGCACGCGAGAGTCCCCCTTGTTCTCTATCATTCAACAAGGAAGTGGGAAAGCCAAGCCTTAAATACCATTCCCAATTGTGTTTCCAATACTATGTGGAATTGAGCATTACCAACACTTGTTCCCAATACTATGTGGGATTGAGCCTTAAATAGTGATATATTTGTGAATTATAGTTAATGACTTTAGTATTTGTATAAAGTGTTTGTGGTTCGTTTAGTTTTCATGCAATTCTAATTTATTTTCAATTGATTGTAATTGCACGATAACAATTTTTTTTATTCTCGCGAGTGATGCAATTTTTTTGAATGTTTTGCTTAAAATTGCAATAATCGCGATTGATTGTAGATTGACTTTTAATTATGACATATTTAATCGTATAATACTAATGCAATTGGTTGATGATTCAGTTGTTTTAAGGTGCATGATTGTTAATTGTTTCCTGAATAATCACATAGTATTGGAAACAAGTGTTGGTAATGCTCAATCTCACATAGTATTGGAAACACTATTGGGAATGGTATTTAAGGCTTGGCTTTCCCACTTCCTTGTTGAGTGATAGAGAACAAGGGGGACTCTCACGCGCCGCCACCGCCGCCGTCCGTCTCGTCTCGTCTCGGGTCGTGGTCGTAGTAATACGTGTCTTCGACACGTCCGCGCGAATACTATCTTTTTAGAGAAAATTCTTAAGAAACAAATGCAATACCACCAGTCGTTGCAATTTTGGACTATCGCAACGAATTTGGAATAAATCGCAACGCGAACTTGGACTATCGCAATGCAAATATGTAAATCGGAATGCGATAGTCGAAGTTCGCGTTGCGAATCTGGAAACTGATTTGCGATACCGGAGATCGCGTTGCGAATTATCGATTGCATTGCGATTTAGTTGGTCATTTTGGCAAATCCAAAAAAAAATGGTTAAAATCGTATATTATAAGGCATTTTTGGTCACTGAGGTTATTTTTCAATTATTATTATGTACATATGTATCTCATATCTCTATTTAAATATATAATATATAAAATTATATTTTTGTTAATTATGCATTTTTATCTACACATGCACTTGTATATCACCAATTTGGTTTTATTATGATTGTTATAAGTATATATATATATATAATTAAAGATAATATTTATTTTATTATTTATGTATTTTTAAATATAAATGTTTGTTTAATGCTTTGATATCTTTAAAGTTTGTTAGTTATTCGACTATCTATGGAAGACCCTCAAACACTTGGGTGCTCTTCCGAGGGCTATTCAAATAAAATTTTAATGTTATTATTTATATGATTGAACTATTGGTTTTTAAATGATGACTATGAGTATTGATTTTAAAAAATGGTTAGTCATTTTGGTGGTTCCGTGTGACATTCAAATGCTCTAGTCTTCAGGTCGGATTGGATTAGGGTGTTACAATTAGTTTGATCGTTTTGATTTTGTTGTTTTGGTTTTAGAAATCCATTTTTGACTGATATATGAAGATCAGAAGTTGTCCACGTTCACTACACCAATTGTTTATGAGAATAAGTTAGGTTGCGTCAACTGACGATTCATCTTGTTATGTTTAGGCGAAGAATCGTAGGTGGTGCAAGAACAATCATTGGCCGATGATTCTTTGGTGAAAAAATGAGAACGAATCAGACATGAGAGAGAAAATGAATAATTGAGATGAGAAGATGAGACAGAGCCCATTGTCAATCTTGGATAAAGGATATTTATAATGACCTTAGTTTGTGTTGTCAATCATAGGGTAATCATGGCTATGTGTAGATTAATGGGCTAAACATATTTGATAGTCAGATCTTGGATTTTATTTTGGTATATCATGTGAACCTGAAAGATGTCTTCTCTAAGTCTTATAGTGGACTCAGAGTCTTATACTTAAAAGATTGGGCTCCTAGGAGGCTCCGATAAATAGAGGAGTTAGTACGAAAGTTTTTCCTAGTGAAAAATTGACAGTTTTTGAAGATTATTCTCCGAATGTATAATAACTATTTAGTTTTATAATAATAAAAAATTGGTTTATATTTTAACCCATGACATATTCTAAAATCTAAATCATTTATTCTAAATATAGAATTTAAAAATCTAATTTTTTATAATTTAAAGATAAATTTTAAAATTAAAAAACAAAAAACAAAATTTCATTAGTTACATAAAAAAAATACATGCAAACACAATTTTAAAAATTCAATTAAAGTTTTTTTTATAGTTCATATAATTTAGAGAAAAAATCATATAAACAAACATAAAGTTTAAAAGTTTAAATTTCATTAAAAAAATGTGTACGTATAAGTAAATATTTTTATTATAGATATATTTGAAAGAAAAAATCATTTCAATAATCAAGATTTAAATCATCCAGAACAACAGTGCGAGAAATACAATTAGAATGTTCATAAAAGAACCTAACATGTGAGGCACAAGTTAGGTCCTGTTTCGCTAACTCGTGGGCAGTCCTATTTGCTGATCGAGGGATATGACGAACAGTGAAGGATGCCTCATTCCTGAGATAAGCACGAGCCTGCTGGAGATTAAAGCTAGTAAATGAGAGGTCCATATTCGGTGTGTGCACCTTGTTCACCACAGCGTAAGAGTCACTCTCCACGTCAACCAAAGGCAACCCGTTCTTATGAGCCAATTCGATCCCATAATTCAAGGCGATTGCTTCCACCAGTTCAGCGGAAGAAATGCCCTACAATCTCCTTGCATGGCCACCAACAACCATTCCATGTTCATTCCTGGCGATAACACCGGTTGTTGCAGAAATTGAGTCTGATAAAAAGGCTCCGTCCACATTGACCTTGACCCTATTAGCAGCCAATTTGGTCCATTTAGAGGGATTCTTCATGATTCTATCCTAGATTGGCACTTTAGTTTCACGCTGTGCTTCAAGGAAATCAACACCAAAAGCCAAGCAAAATTGATAACAACACGAGCAGGTTAAAGAACACCTTCACGTATCCATTTATTGCGCCGACTACAGAGGTTCCAAATCTGCAACAGGAACTTTACAAACTTATCATCTTGGAGAAATGAGGCAACCTTCTCCATGCATTCTTTGCTAAACTGAAAATCTCCCTCGAAACATCGATTGTCAAGGTGCGAGAGCTGGAGAACTTCTTTTGCAAAATAACAGTCTTTTAGGGCAAAATATTGATATTTAAGAGTTATAAGTCACGAAAATCGATCCCGTGACCTCTCTTAGGCCTGCAAACTCTATTCCATGCGATGAGAGCCCATCTTTTCTTATCCTTCCTGGACCACTAGTAAGGATAAAGTTTTGAGATAATGGAGT